GAGAGCACTAAGACACCCAGGGGGCTGATGCTGCCCCTGTCCCATTCACCAAGAGCTAGGGTGAGGTACTTGGCATGGCCTGGTTCTTGGTCACCAGTCCACATCTCTCCTGGCAATATCCTCTGTAGACCCTCTAGTTTCTGTAGACACCTTATACCTCTCAGTCTTGTCTGGGGCCCCTCTTTCATGCCATTGGGCCTTTGAGGAAGGCTTTGGAGAGGTGCCTCCTGCTGGAGAGCATCCTAGCCCTTCTCCTCTCCTGCAGCTCTGTGGTGGGTGCCTCTTTGAGGCTTCTCCTCTGGGCCCTTCCTGGAGGTCAAGGCCCCAGCCTCCCTCCATTGCTGTTTCATTCCTGTGGCTTACCTAAGGATCCTTGTCTCTGCTCCAGCTCCTGCAGGACTCGTGACTTGGGAAAAACCCCTCCTGCTCAGCTCCTGCAGAACTACCCTCTCCTGTCTCTCACTTGCCTTCCTTGCCTACAGTTCAGTGCTTGTTTCCAACTCTCCTGAAAGGTAGGAAACCATGACACGCCCGCAGACCCTCTTACTACCCAGATACGCCGTTTATGTCCCATATCCTTTGCATAGCCACGGAAAAGATGAGTTTAATTTTTTAAATAAAAATTAAAAATTTTTAAAATTTAATAAAAAGATTAATTTAAAACTAATTTTACTATGAAAGCATATGATGTTTTTAAAACAAAAATGCAAATATTAATACTAAAATAAAGGCAACCACGGCCTGTGTTCTTTGTTTTTGAAAAGTCAACTGAGAAACACATAAAATAACCATATCATTGAACCACCTTTCAGCACTATGTGGCAGATTTAAATGTCTGTTTTCCAACTGAGAGTTCTGTTTCTCTTGATGCATAATTTTTACTTCAGCCAATTTTGAAAACCTGGAAATGTGTATTCAAAAAAATCTCTCTGACGCTCTTGCTGTCTGATGCATGCTTGATAAGGTGTCTTTCAAAACCTGCACCCATTTCTTTCATGTGTCACAGCACAAGAAAGAATAGAGTAGGAACAAAAGCAAGGAGTGTGCGCTGTCTATGTAATTATCAACCTTTCCAATTATTTTTGGCCAAATCAATAATTCATGAAAATTACCATTTGTCAAGACCTTAGTTAAAACCCATCCCTTGAGGAATGTGGTCCCCGGGAGAAATGATAGAACAAAGGAAATCCCAGAGACTTGGTGAAATATCCTCCACCTGGTCTCAAGCTAAACCAAGCCCTGACTCCATGCAGCTGAGGCCCCAGTATGTTCAGAAAGCATCCATCCTCCCAGGTGCCCTGCAAAGTACTGGTTCAGATTTCTTGATGCATGCTCTTCGGAACAATGGATATTACTGGGTAAGGGACAGGGAAGGGGAGTCTGTGGTCCAAAAGGCTTAGAATACAGAGGCAGTAAAGAACATTTAGTGGGGGCCCTTTCTGCAAAGTCATCTCAGAGATGATGATATGCTAATGTGTATCGCGAATATTCCAGAAAGGATACCATTTCCCAGATGTATTTCTATCAAAGATTGATTGATTATCTTATGGAAGGATTCCCAGGATCATGGTCACATTTGGGGACACACTGGCCTCTTCTAATATTGCAAACAACAAGAAAAGAACTGATTATCCAAAAAGACACTCTTGCTAGGAGCAAGTTCCGGTGCCAGTCATGACGGCCAGCCCTCCCTGACCACCACCCCGTTGTCTCTCACACTTTCCTTCCTTTCTTTTCAGCCACAGAACTAAGAACACTTCTGACAACTACACTCTAAGCAAACCTTTTATTTCCTATGATTTTCAGTCTGGAGCAACTACCTGCTTACCTCCATTGCAAATGTCTACAGAGCACTCCCTAAATTCCCAGGGACTCACACTTCACTGGGGTCCACTTTCCAGACCTCATAGCTGAACATCAAATCTGGTTTTAGTCATCATCTCATCTTGAGATTGAAAATGATTTCGCCTACAGCATGAGATTAAGAAGAACTGTGTATGATTTAGACAGTGGTGGAAATAGTGAAATGTCATTTCAGATTCCTGTGCCCTGAGGGACAGCTTGTAGCCCCAGCCATGTCTGAGAGTGACTTTACTCAGACATTTCCTTGGCCATTGTCTGCTGCCCAATTATTCCACCTGCCTGTCCCCTTCGCATGTCCCCAAGTCAGGGGACATGCAGGCCCAGCTGCAAATACAGATGCTAAAACAGACTAGCAAATTCGCCAGGCTAACTATGAAAGGCTCGGTTCTGCTGTAGTGCATTAGGGAGCTTTGGACTTCCTTTTCCTCACCTTCTGTGGCTCCTCTATCACAAAACTTTACTTATTCTTCTTTGTCGGCTAGCTTAGATTTTTTTATCCTTCTGTTTTACTCTTTGCTAACATTTTTATTATGTGACTTCATGGCCGGCCCCGAAGGAACACTTAATAATGTGCAGTTGACTTTCAACTTTTCCAATTTACCCAGCACCCATATCTCAGAGTAATTGCTTTTACGGTTTTTCTTTGTTAGCTCTGAGTCTAAGAACAAGGAACCAGGCACTTGAGTTGGAGGTCTGAAGATCTTGGACCTAACTATTTGTCTCCTTGTTTTTGTTTTTTTGTTTTTGTTTGTTTTTAACTATACATATATCTGATGTTTTTAGACCAAGTAGCTTTAGGTTCTGAAAAGGGCTGGGTCAAACTCCTAGTCTCCTAATAATGTTGGGACTAAAGTCAGTTCAGAGTGAAATAGCTTCTACCCATGAATAATAGACGTTTCAGAACCTGCACTGGGGAGATGTGCACATACAAACCAAAGCAGGTGGATTTGCTGCATGAGAATAATCAACTGAACTGTCAAAGCACAGAGTCTAGTTTATAGCAAACAAGCAAACAAAAACTAGTTTGTTAAACCCCTCACAGAGTCAACAATCTGTAATTTTAGTGGTGAATTTTCTCCTTTTGTTTGTCCTAGGCTCTCTGGAGTTAGGTGACCTGGCCACTATTCAAGTTAGATCAGCAGCCTAGGGGTAGGAGAGCAGGTCCAGACGGACAGGTGAGAGTAGGTGTGTCCTGACTGGCCTCAGCTGGTGAACATAAGCAGCTCCAGCTGGGGTCATTGATTAGACCACCACAGGGATATCTGGTGCAATTAAGGGAGACATGATGCTCTAACAGCCCAGTGACTGTTGAAAACAATACCATCATCAACTCCAGAGTGCATCAGCATGTGTAGTTAAATTACATGCTCCCAGGCAGAGATGAAACCAGTGCCTCGGACCAAGTTTTCTGGTCTCTTGCTCACCTCTGCTTAGCATAAAGGAAAACTGGGCCTCAGCAGCTCAGGCTGTATCCTTCTAATATGGAAAGACTCGGGAAATGGCAGGTCTTTCTTAAGCCCTTTCTTGACATACTTGTATCATTTACACCAACCCACCCTATACAGGAAAAAGAACAATCATGCCTACAGCCCAGGAGTGAGACCAGCTTTATTTGGGGTTTGGAAAAAGTGTTTGCCCTGGAGAAAGTCTGGGTGCTGCTGTAAGAAGGGAAGGCAGATGCTCACCAGAAGCCTTGTAGTAGCTCTCCATGCAAATAATGGGAAAGACCTTCCCATGTGTCTCACATGGGCCAAGGCAAAACTGGTCTGGGAAGGTACTAGAACCCATGTGGCCTGGCTTGATCTCACTTCACAAACTAGATCAGTAGGATGCTGCTACTCAAAGCATGCTACTCCATCTGAGAGGAAACTCTCATTGCAATTCACAAATCTTAAGAGAGTTCTGCTATGATTTGAACTTTTATCAACCCCAGAGTTCATGGGCTAAAAATACACTCCCCCCAAAGTCATGTGCTAATGACACTTCAAGGTAGAGCCTTTGGCAGGTGACTACATCATAAGGACATTGACTGAATGGATGGTTATCAAGGGAGTGGGTTGGTTATCAAAGAGAGAGCACGTTATAAAAGACAGTTTGGCAATTTCTTATGAGCTCCTCACCAAGTGATTCCTTGTCCAGTCTAGCCTAGGGATTTGACATAGAGTCTTCACCAGTGAATAAGACTTTCACTAAAGGGTTCATCCCTTGGACCTCCCAGACTCTGGGACTTTGGGCAACCAAAACTTCTCTTACAAATTACCCAGACTCAGGTATTCAGTTAGAGCAAGAGAACAGAGCATCCATGTGAATAAAGGAACGTAAATTTGTTCACAGCTCACACAGACCAACAATGCCTAAAGTTGGGTTTTCCCTGCCTTCTCATACTGCAGGTGAGGAGGGAAATTTTGTAAGGTCCTCAGTAATTTCTTGACTGTAGTCTTCCCGTTTGCTCTAAAGGATGATTTCTGGAAATCAAGTCCTAATGCAAGTTTTTAAAGGTAGAAATGACAGAGGCAGAACTCTTGGGTGAAAGTACCCAGAAAAAAAGGAATGCAGTTTCATCACTGTATGCTTAGGAGTGAGGTGTAAACCAGAGGGAGAGAAAAGAGACGGCAGGACAAGGCAGGAGGCTGATAGAGAGAAATTTCTGCTTCTGGGAAACTTTCTGAAGTTTATAGGTCATAGAAATGTTTCCATAAAGCAAAAAAACCAGCAAACAAGAAAGGTTCTGGTTATGGATCGTCATCGATAGATATTTATTGACTGCCTCGGTGGCACTATACTTACTGCTGTCCCTCAAAATACAGTGCTCCCACCCGAATTCCTCTGACACTTGTTTTGAAATCTATGACCTCTCCACCCTCCTTCCATTTCCAGTAAATCACTGGATGTCACATTTGCTGTCTGCAATAAGGATGACCACTCGGATGTCACATTTGCTGTCTGTAATAAGGATGACCACTCCATTGGCATACTCCCCTGTCTTGACGTGGTAAAAGGAAAAGCTCACTACAAAGGCAAAAGCAGCCATGCCTATGTTCACAGATACCCCACCGCAATGAAGACTCATAAAAATCATACAAGGTATTCAAGATCTGGCTTCTGCTTTTTACTCCCCCCCCCCCCCATTTCTCGCGGTCTCTAGCTCCCATCGACACCTTCCTTCCCCAGGCCAGTCACGTAGTTTATTCCAACTGAAACATGGACTCTTCACAACACAGTACTGCCCTCTGGTCCCTTAGCCTTTCTTTCTCTCATTGAAACACCCCTGACCCCATCTTCCAGCTCTTCTCTTGATTCATTGGCTCATTCAGCACATCTCTCCAGGACACATCCTTGCATCAGGTAATATGTTGATCTTCTAGGTGTGCCAGTGAGCAGTGATTGTGATTTCCTAGAGGTAATTGTGGTGGTGTGTTGTGTCCCCCAATATACTATGTCTCCCAATAAAGTTTACCTCAGTATCAGAGAAAAACCCAGCTACTATATTAACATAGAAGTCAGGCAATGGTAGCACACACCTTTAATTCTATCACTTGGCAGGCAAGGATCTGTCTGGATCTCTGTGAGTTCAAGGCCACACTGGGGAACAGAGCCAGGCATGGGGATACATGCTTTTAATCCAAGCACTAATCATAGAGGTCTGGAGGTCTGTACAGACAGATAGGAAGTGACAGAGCTTGGCAGGAAGAGGAAGAGATGTAGCTGGGCTGAGAGAGCAAATGAGAAAACAGAACAGAAAGGCATATAGGCATGGTTATACAGGAGCAGGTCTCTTTGGAAGCTGCGGAGTTGGTGAGGTGAGGTTAGCTGTGGCTTTCCCTATTTCCCTGATCTCTCAGGTTTTCACCCCTGTATCTGGCTCCGTGTTTTTTATTTAATAAGACCATTTAGAAATTCATCTAGGGGCTGGAGAGACAGCTCAGAGGTTAAGAGCACTGACTGCTCTTCCAGAGGATCCGGGTTCAATGCCCAGCACCCACATGGCAGCTCACAACTGTCTGTAACTACAGTTCCAGGGGACCTGACACCCTTGCACAGGCATATACACAGGCAAAAGATCAATGCACATAAAGATAAGTAAATAATTAAAAAAAACAACAAAAACCAAAAACAAACAAACAAATAGTCTACAGGTACTTATAGTAAGTAGGTGGCCAGAAGACAGAGGTGGCCAGACCTCTGTGTAGCTATGGTCCTTTCTGAGATTCTGAACCAGGAGCTTCCATCAAACCAGAGGCAATCTGGAAGATGACTTTTGAGTTGGATTCTGCAGGATAGATTAGAAGTGAACACTGTATGCCCTGAGAGAACAAGAAAAAGGATCAATCAGGACTGAATGTGGAACATACAATCTGATAGTTTGTTGAGTAGTACAATGTTACATTCTGATGAACATAGGTAAGTATTTTGTCTTGTTAAGAGTGCAGGCTCATCAAATCCATGTTTCCCCACAGGTGGGACACAATCTCTTTGCACTGTCTCTTGTTCTTGCCTCAGAGCCTGGCCTGGATACATGACACCAGCCAGCTCCTGAGCTCGCTGACTTCTATGTTGGTTGGTCCAGTAGGGTGTGCTGACTCCAGATGTCCCAGGTGGGGATATGGATGGGGGCAAACAAGGGGCAGCAGAGAGCCGTAAGAATTGTTTTTTACGTATGCTTGCTTTCTGGGGAAGGGGAGGTTAAAAAAAAAGTCTGCAGCAATGCTATCTGTTGTCTGTTTATTTACACACACACACACACACACATACACACACACCACACACTTCTTTTTCTGATTCCTTCCCTAGGAGGTCAACTTGGGCCAGCTTTGTCCAAACACCAAGGTGTAGTGCTTTGCTCTGCAACTGTTCCTTCTAGCTATGATACCCTCTCTACTATGATCTGTCTGACTTTTTAACTAAAGTTAGTTGCTCGGAGGCAGCTACCCCAGGAGTCCCGTGATAGACTTGGGCGCTGTCACCGCTGCTTCTCAGTAAGCAAATCTTGGGTTGCTAAAGTGTCCTTGAATTATCTGTATTTGAATGCGGGTGTCTGACTCCTGTTGAGACCCTGTAGGGATAGGATAGCCTTCCTCCTCTGAAACAACATTGTCATCTAAGCTGCCACTGCAGTGGTGACAAGCTACCTGTGGGTACCGAGCATCTGAAATGTGGCTCCAATTAAGGTGTGTAAGAAGAGAAAAATACAGACTACCTCCAAAAACTTGGATTAAAATAAAAAGAAGAAGAAAGAAGGGTTGCTAGTTCATTTCCTGCTGCCCAAACAGTCCCACAAACTGGGCCAATAGATGTTTATTCAGCTTACGATTCTGGATGCTGGGAAGTCTGGGGGTTTGGGGCCACATCAGTAATCCTCAGAGGGATACACAGGTACAAAATCACCTCATGATGAGCTACAGGTGAACTTGGAGCCCAGCACTTTCTAGATGAGAAAACAGATGTTCTGGTGACTGTGCGACTCTTTGCTTTTAGAACAATTTTAAACGGCCTCTGTTTTTGTTGTCTTCCTTCTCCAAACCAGACTGAAACACACTGAGGAAAGTTTCAAAATATATTAAACCTTAAGTCAGTATTAAACTTCAAAGTGGTTTGTCAATATCCAATTTTCAGACATAATAGGACATGGAAACTTGGCAGGGTATGCTGCTCATCCTGGGCAAAGGCCAGCGTTTTCCGGCCCTTGAATCTAACCAGCTCTTCATTGGTTGTAGAATCAACTGTGATTGGTAGTTTATGAACACAAGACTATACCCATCAGTGAGTTCTTAGCCAGCAGGCCAGACACGATCCACTTCTATCCAAGCAAACATAGAATCGGTAGGACCCTGGGGAGGCTAAAAGACAACCCCCTAACTTCTACTTCCTGGTCAAATAGGGTACAGTCAGGAGGAGGAGAGAAAATCTGAATGTCAAGGCTGGGCAGCCAGGATTCCAAAGTGAGGTGTCTGCTGAGCCCCTGTTAGCATGCCAGTTGGGGGTGGGGGTGGGGCAGGAAAATGTCTACCTCACACAGGGATTGGGATAAAGTGACCAGGGCACAGCCCCCACTGCCAGCCTTTTTTGAGGAGACAGTCAGAAATAAGGAAACAATAAAATTAGAACAAAAACGAAATATCTGGGGGCTAAAGAGATGGCTCAGCAGTGAAGAGCCCTGGCTGCTCTTCTAGAGGACCTGGGTGAGATTCCCAGCACCCACATCTAGGTTCACAACTGTAAGTAACTCCAGTTCAAAGAGATCCACCACCACCCCAGCTGGCACCAGGCACCCAGGTGGTACATAGACACACATGCAGGCTAAACAGCCATACACATAAAACAAAAATAAATGAATAAAATTGAAAAACAAAACCCCCACGAAGTGACCTCAGAGAAAACAATCAAATCTATTCTACTGTAGATACTGCTGGCCATTTCCCCAGAAGCCAGCAACAGGCAGATTTTTGCCCCTTTGTGACCTGCTCTGGGGCCACAGGAAGGACATCTAGGGTCAGGGGAAGTAACAGGAAGAGGAAACGACTGTTTATGAAAGGACTCTTGACCCCAGAACAGTGCAAACACATCCTCACATACCACATGGCTGCATGGCGCGCACACACGCAAAGTATTGAACTTTGACGCGCACACACGCAAAGTATTGAATTTTACCAACGACTTGGCTATATGGGTTTGGAATCGGACCCACGTTTTCTAAAACCTTAATTTCTACTTTTGATTTATTTATTGATCTACTTCCTAAGGGGTTCCTTACTAGGTCCTGCGTGACATGACTCTTAATCCTTTTAAGCAAGTCCAAGGGAAAAAGCAAGAGAAGATTTGTCAAGAGCCCTCTCCGTGGATAGAGAAGTAGGAGTCAAATCTACCCTCAAGAATTCTCTTTGCCCAGACAAATCGGGGTGTGGCCTGCCTTGGCCGCCAGGAACTCCTGAAAACAAAACTTCAGAAGTCTCTGGGATGAAAAGGAGGGGATGGGAAGGGTGGGTTGGAGAAGGGTAGGGACGCCGCTGCCCGAAGCTGGGGCAAGAGGAAGCAGGGGACTGGGATCTGGGGAGTGTCAAGGCCACGAAGGGCTAAACTGAGCTGGAAAGGCTTAGGAACCCCTAATCCGATGAGGGGCTGACGGGGTAGGCAATCAAGTACAGGCCCTAGCTGTCAGTCTGACAGCGGCCCAGAGACCTGGGGGTGGGGTGACTGTAGGGAAGGGGCGTCATCTCTGTCGCCACCACCCTCTCCAGTGTGTTGGGCTGTGCCTGGCCACCGTTTTTGGTTTTTTTTCTTATTTCGGTCCCACCCCTCTGGCCCCTCTAGCCCGGCCCCTGCGCCTCTGCTCGGCACCCCGGCGCGGATCCCTGGGTTGGTCTGGCCTGGGCCGTTGACGTCACCACCAAGTTTGCTGTCCTTCGCGTCCCACGTGTGGCGGTAGCGGCCAAGGAGGCTGCGGGGAGCGTCTCGGAGCACAGTGGCAGCGACCGATGACAGGTCCCGAGCAGAGGGTCCACTCCAGGCGGCTCCCAGCTGGGGCCCCAGAGGAGTGGGTAGACTTCCGGAGCGCCCCAAGAGGCCAGAAGGCTCGAGTTCCACTCAGACAGAGGGGCTAAGGGGGACCTTGCTCTGTGCTGAGACGATTTGAGCCAGGACTCCGAGCGCGCTCCTGGGAGGGCCAGGACAGCAGAGCAGCCAGCGGCTGGGAAAAGGGTCACTCGCTTTGTCCGGAGCGCACACAGCTCTGCGGTCCGGGAGCCCCGCGTCCCCTCCACAGGAACCCAGCCAAGGATGCACGGTCGCTGAGCCCAGATCCTCACCGAGTGGCTGCTCAGGACCCGGCTGAGCCCAGCGCCTTCGCCACCACCGCCGCAGAGACTGCCTTGTCCGGCGACTCTTGGGGGCCCGGGGCGCCGAGCTCTGCCCAGCTAGGCTCAGGACGGACTCGGGAGCACTTCAGACTCGAGACGATGGTTTCTTAAGCACGGCCCCGAACCCCTTCCTGTCCCTTCGTCCGGAGCCCGGGACCCCGAGAAGGTCCTGGCTTCTGGTCCCTGCTCCAGCTCTGGCAGCCTCCCCGCGGGGCAGCTCTCCTGCACGCAGGGGCGCTCGGGCGATGTGGCCGCAGGGCAGGGCGCGGGATGGCAGGGCTCCCTGAGCAGTCCCGGCCTAGCATGGCCCGAGCGTCGCCAGTCGCCTCCGGCTAGGATGGCCCCCTCGGGCCCCGCCGGCGCCCAGCCCAGCCCGGCTGAGCCACTGTCGCGCAGCATCTTCAGGAAGTTCTTGCTGATGCTCTGCTCGCTACTCACTTCCCTCTACGTCTTCTACTGCCTGGCTGAGCGCTGCCAGCCCGGGTCAGGCCCCGTCGCGGGGGTCCCGGGGCGCGGCGTCCCTGCAGGACCGAGGGAGCTGGCGGCGTGGCCCGCGGGGGCGCAAAGGAAGCGCCTCCTGCAGCTGCGGCAGCGGCGGAGGCGCGGGCGGCCCGGGCCAGGCGACAGCGGCGACCAGGACGAGCAGAACCCCGGGCTGGCCGCGGCTCCAGGAGGCTCCGGGGCGGGAAGCAGCGTGGTGGAGGCCCAGTCGGGGACCCTGGCCCTTCTCTTGGACGAGGGCAGCAAGCAGCTGCCGCAGGCCATCATCATCGGCGTGAAGAAGGGCGGCACGAGGGCGCTGCTGGAGTTCCTGCGCGTGCACCCCGACGTGCGCGCCGTGGGCGCCGAGCCCCACTTCTTCGACCGCAGCTACCACAAGGGCCTCGCCTGGTACCGGTGAGCGCGGGGACCCCCACGGGTGTTTCTGAGCGCAGGCCGCGCAGAGGGGGAGACTTGGGAGGGGTGGCAAAGGGGAAGCAGTAGCTGTCCCCAACTAGGGCTTTCATTCCTCCCTTCTTCTCTTTTGGGGAGGGCCAGATTGAAAGAGGAAAGGGGGTTGTCTTGATTTTAATCCTCAGGACTCCCTTTTCCCCCCAAAGAGCCTGAAGTCACCCTTGTATTTAGATACAGGAAAAGAAAATGAGTTTCCTTTAAAATTAGAAACCTGCTCGTCATTACTAGGTTATCTCACCAAAGGAAGCTTGTTTCTATTCCTTTATCTTTGGGGTAATTCCCTGTGGTTAACACGGTATTTGCTCTGGTATTTATTGGCCTTGACCCTTTGCCAGATAGTTGTCCAAGGTGGTAAGTCATATAGAGACTTAGTAAAAGTGTCAAGTGCAGGGGGAGTCCATGTAGTTTGGATAATCTATGTCCCAGCAAGTGCCAGCAGTCAGTCGCTGGATTTTAAAGGACATTTCCTTGGTAATACCATTGGCCTGACAGAAACTTTTCTAAAGAGCTCTGAACGATTATCTTTACAAATAAGATAGCTAATTTTAAAAGGGAAAAGAGGCTTAAAAAAAAAAAAGAAAAGAAAGAATCGTGGAAAAAAGCATGGAAGTAAATCTCACTTACAAGGTAAGCTTATTTGCCAGTGTCAAATTCAGATTACCTATACTATAAGAGTTAGCCAAACTCTAATAAATTCTAGCGTGGCCTGGATTTGGTTTGTGGTTAAAAAAAAAAGAAATTACTGATTCCCACCCCCCTTCCAAGTTCAAGGAAAAATCATATGGTTAGAATTTTCCCATTTTATAAAGTTCAGCCTGTTCATAAAATATTCATTCTCATTATAACTGAAACAATATTAGAAAAGTTATGACACAATTGAGATACACTGAAGGAACCATTCATAAAACAGAGATGGTCATGATGTGACGAGTGTATTCACGTGTAGGGTCAAGAACATGTTCAGATTGATTTTAGGAGCTGAATTTATAGTTTGGTCTTAAAAAAAAATCTGATTCAAACGTTAAACACTTCTAAAAACAGTAACTTTCCATTCATTGGAAAGAAAAACAATCAGTCTTCCCCGATACAGAATATATATCATTTAAAAATCATCAGCCACTTAAAAACCTCCCCCTCCCCATGTTTCCGTCATTTACGGTGTTCCCTCTGGGAAGCGCTTATAAACTGACCTGTTGAATCTGGACAACAGGTCCTTCTTCTCAACACAAAGGCGGTTCTGTGCTATTCCTCAAGGACACAAGAAAGAAGTGATTAAACACCCTAAAACTCTTATCTATAGCCGACCGAATTGAATTCGGCCTCGTACAGAGCTGGAGGGACACATTTCAAACCATCAGTCTGAAACATCTAGGCCAGCCGTGGGCTCTGAGGAACTATTAAATATGGTGAAATATTTAGTGCTAACCTCCTTTATTTTCGTTTTGCTCTATAAACCTTATTTCCACAAGGTAGGATTGTTTCTTCTTATTCCAACAACGTCTATTTGAGGGCACAGTATACCTATAGACCTGGATCTGATTTTCTGTGGAACTTTCTGAAATCATGTAAAAGCAGGAAGGTTTCGGGGTAACTAGAAACACAACTACTTTAAAAAAAAAAAGGCAGGGATAAAAAGAAAAAGAAAAAGTCATAAACTTGGAGGCCACCCTGCCCTTTGGAAACTGGATGCATGCTATGAAGGAAATCTTGGGTTGTTTACCCCGGCAGAGGAGTTCTATAAAGCAGTTTATGGTGGTTACAAAAATAACTGCACAGTAGACTTCATGGTTTGGTGAATTTAATTTTCCAAGTGTCAGAACAATGTCTTTGTTTTAACATTCACAGTGAGTGGTTTTTTTTAAATTGAATACATAAATTTAAGCTCACTGAATTATATGAAAAACTCCTTAAAAAAAAAAAAAACACCTGTGGAGCCTGGATTATGGGATTATTTAATGAAATTTCCCCCACAGTTCTTTTTCATCTTGACTCTGAAACTGGGGTTTGATGTTTGTGAGAAAGACTGAAGACTTAACTCTCTCTGAGAGAAAACCCCACACAGAATGCCTTGAAGCTACTGTGCATTTGGGCTACTTATATTTACCTAATATTCAGAACAAGGATCTGGGCAGACCTTCCTATATTGCCCCAAATTTGCAATAGAGAATTTCTACCACACATTTAAGACCACACACACACACACACACACACACACACACACACACACACACAGAGAGAGAGAGAGAGAGAGAGAGAGAGAGAGAGAGAGAGAGAGAGAGAGAGAACAAAAAACAAACTTTCTATTGAAAATTTGAAGAGAAGAAAATTAGGGAAGAGAAAAATATGGGTAGTATTTTTAGATGCTTGTTGACATGAGGGAAATTAAAAAAAAAAGTCTAGCCTCTGCTTCTTTCTTCCCTCCCTCCACCCCCACCCTTTTTTCTCCCCCCACCCTCTCTTTCTTCTTTCTTTTAACTGTTTGTCCCAACAACAGTTTGCTGTAGCACTGCCCCCTACTGTCCTCACAAAGGGAGAAAACGCTTGCTTTTAGGAAGTTTGAAAAAGTCTTTTGGAGAAGGAGTTTGAGAGTTAGAAACTCCTGTTGCTGAGTCACTTCTCTATATTTCCACCACCGAGAAAAAAAATACAATATGAGATATGTTTCCAGAGCAGAGTATAAAATCCCTCTTGGAAAAACTCTATAGTAAAATGAAAATGAATGTGTTATTCAGCCTCTGAACAGGATGTTCCTCTCACTGATTTAGAGTATTTGATGTCTCAACAAGTTTCCTGCCAATGTTGGTGTGTGTGGAGACTTGTTCCTAATCACTCAGGACACTCCAGTGGAGGTTTCTGGGTACGAAACTCCAGCCTGTGGGGTTTGAAAACTCATTCCTCATGACTTCGTTTAGCAGGACATGCTATGAAGACAGCAAACACCTGTAGCTTTTGTGTCACGTGACAGCAGTCGTTGGAAGTGAAAAGCATCCATTTCCATTGCCTGAGTGGTGTGGTCACAAAGGAAAGTGGAAATCGTTTCACTCTCTTCACAATGTGGAGAGCTTTACTGGAAGTCTAGACCAGTGGCCTCTGTTGTAGTTCAAGGGCAGGTGAGCTTTAACTGCATGGGAAGGGCCCTCTCCCTGCTTGTTTATTACCCCTGCAGAGGTAATTCATTTCCCTACAGAGACAAAGGACATCTATTTGTAAACCATTTAAATAAGCTACACATGTCCATATTCATGCATGTATACACTCCTCCTTTAGTATCTGTGGGGCATTGGTCCCATCCCCCTGTAAGTATCAGACTTCTCAGATGCTCAAGTCCCTCTTATGAAATGGTACAGTATTTGCACATAACTTAAAGCATCCTCCTCTGCACTTTAAATCATGTGTGCATTATTTATAATGCGTGATACAATGTAAATTTTATGTAAAGAGCTGCTACAGTGTTGTCTAGGGAATAATAACAGAACAAAGTCAGGACATGTTCAACACAGATGTAATTTTTTTCTGCATGTTTTCATATGCAGTTGGCTGAGTCTCTGGATGTACAACCTGTGGATACAGAGGGTCTGCTATGCATCTGTCTCTCCTCTCTCCATCCACATATCCACATAAACACATACGCTTGTACATGGCCCCTGTAACACTCTATATCTTTATTTGGCTCGTGATAGATAGCATTCATTATGCTGTCTTTGGTGCTAGCGTGTTCCATATTTTAACTTCCTTCATTAGCAAGTCTGGACCATTTAATCAAAGAAGAATATCACATTATAGCATACAGTAAAGATAAAATTCCTCAGCTTGGAGTTTTGGAACTAGTGTTCTCCTGACTTCATCAAAATGTGAAAATTTTAACCTTTCATGATCATGGCCTTATTTTTCAAGGCCACTAGAGAGTCAACTTGAGCAGAGGAACTTCTGGCTTCTGGAAGAATTCGGCATTTTGTGGCAGCTGGGAGCAGCTGCAGAGTACCTCCAGGAACCATTCCCACCCTCTGCACAACCATCCCCTTCTGCACAAAGAGCTTGAAATTTAAGCCAAAGGAGGTGCAGATCCTGGCCACCCATGCAAGGTCATATGGCCTGAAGTCCAGAAACTGTGTCCTTGAGTAAGCGAAGAACAAGGGCTGAGGAGGACTCTGAGCCCAGGGGAACCATGTCTGTGGAGAAAAACGGAGCTATTTCTTCCATTAATATAGTTCCCAGGAGCTCTGAGTGACTGCATATGTCCCACCTGCTGTCATTGTCTGAATTCTGGGTTCTACCCCTGGAGATGTCAATGGTAATTTAACCAGCCGTGTGTGTGTGTGTGTGTGTGTGTGTGTGTGTGTTGTATGTGTGTGTGCGTGGTGTATGTGTATATGTGTGTAGAAGTCGATATGTAAAGATGGGAAAGGGATAGAATTTGTATGAAGAACTTCATTAAATGGTTAGGGAATGACTTAGATGCCGGGTATGGAGGAGGCATTGATTATCCCGGAGTTGAAATACCTTGAGTCTGCACTTCCTTGTGTATGCACCCCTTTATAATCTGAGAGGTGCAAAGTGCTGACACACTTTGTACGAGAATGCAAAGACAGTCTCTGGGTGGAAATCCCCCACAGCATTGTGATCTCCTGCCCCACCTTCCCTTAAAAGAAAACACTCTGGCCCAAATATTTGTCTCATATAAATAAACCGGTTGATTGGCCAGGGAAGAATAAGTGCCAAGTCTGTATTTTAGAGGGGTCATGGGAATAAAGTAAGCCTGTGCAATTAATGACAACAGGGGCTAACCTTACATAGACCAGATGTTCCCATCATGAAGAATGTTGGTCACAAAGCAAACAAACCTCCTTGATATAAACAACTATAAGAACTGGTCATCTCTCTATGGGACACATTTGAACAACTGTAAATTGTGGTCCCCATCAGTTCTATTGCTGGGTCCAGGC